CTAAAAGAATGCAAGAAGATTGGATTCATGCAATCTAACGGGAGGACTGATCTGACATGCTGACGAAATATGATCGTGTGTGTTGTAGACATTTTCAATCCATTAGCAGTATTAGCTACTATTGTAGAAGTGGCAGAAGGCATTTCAATAAAAAATTACAAAATTTCATAATGAAAACTGTGTGAGATTACTATTTACCTGGAAAATCATATTCCTTTTTTTGTGTATTGTACAACAGCACAATGAGAAGGCGTGAAAAGGCATGATTGAATTAATGAGTAGCGCAAAAAACTCGATTCGTATGCCAAAATATTGTGAAAAACTATTTCAATCTTTTGATTCCTATCCAAACAAATGAAAAAGTGAGGTTGTTTTTCAATGTTTTACAGAAGAGTGAGGTTGTGTTTCAATATTTCATCTCCAGGGTCGGTCATCGTGCACGCGACCTATTTACTGTATGGTTATACTGAACAAATAATATCGTTTTTTTTTTTCTATAAAACGTTCAAACATTTTTGTCTAATAACTCTAATATCGAATTGAATGAAATACGAAATATCTGTCAATCTGTCATTGTCAAACATCGGCGTGCATACGTTACACCCTTCCTGCACCAATCACAGAAAGTCTTGTGAACGGCTTGACGTCAAATTCTTGTCATATATTCATGCGAGGGGTTAACCGCGGTCAAAATTGTGTACACCAACCTTAAATTTCATAAGGAATTCCAGTTGTTTGTACACCAGAATTATACCGCACTCCACACAAGGAATTCCAAGAAACTTCAAGGAATTCCAAGGAAATCCAAGGAATTTCAGGAAAATCCAAGGAATTCCAAGGAAATCCGAGGAATTCCAAGGAAATCCAAGGAAATGTCAAGGAATTCCAGTTGTTTGTACACCAGAATTATACCACGCTTCACACAAGGAATTTTAAGAAACTCCATGGAATTCCAGGGAATTCCAAGAAAATTAAAGGAATTCCAAGGAAATCCAAGGAATTTCAGGGAAATCCAAGGAATTCCAAGGAAATCCGAGGAAATCCAAGGAAATTCCAAGGAATTCCAGTTGTTTGTACACCAGAATTCCACCGCGGTTTACCCCTCGTATTGATGCATAGCATAGAGAATGAAGCATTCTGTTGAGTTAATAATCCTTGAACGTGGCCAACATTGGAGTCTTGGCCCCCTTTTACAATACCTAGTCGATCCTTTCCTCAAATAAAACTATGCCCCCATTAATTATTCAAAAATATCGCCCACCATTCACCACCACAATTTATTCGTTCGACAAATTCCCGCGGAACCTTACCTAACCCTCCGCTCGTTGCACCCCCCCAGACACTCGGAGCAGCTAGCAACTAGCAACCAACGGTTACTAAGGTCCGCTACCTACGACAAGACAAGCGACATCATGCGGATGGCACGTGGTCGGTGACTAGACGCGAAATCGAACGGCGCCGATGGTTGCGCGTACGTCGTTGATAGACGCGACCGCATGAATCGTAAATCTGCACTAGAGTCTAGGGCTAGCGCCTTCTGAGGAGGCGAATGTACCCGAACGTAAGGACGTAAGAATGTCCTTGACTTGAGGTGGAATTATGCGGCAATATTCAACAATTATCAAGTAACATTTATCATTTAACAAGTATCAATTGAAAGTTGAAGTTCCTGTTTTCAATGAGGGTGTTATGCAGAAATTTAACAATTCTCAATTAACAAGTAACAAGTGAGAAGTTGGCCAACTTTGAACTTCAATTGAACAAGGTTTTCTTCTGTAAGCTGTGCTCTGGTATTATTACATACAATATAGGTATATAAGTACATATACAAAAGCTCTCGTTCGATTACCACTCTTCAGTATCACACACATCAGATTGGTAGATGATGTGAAGAATAGGTAAAACACAAAAAAAATCAAAAAGGCCTGAAACAGACTAATTTCTGTTATGGAATTTTCCATATTCATTATAGGTAAATATAATAATATGAGTAATATCAAGAACGAACTTTAGTCACCTTTAATTATACGAGTGGCATTGTACAAAAAAGAATATCAATCGTTCTCGGACAGAACAACTATAGTCGAAGTACCAACCCGCATTCCAGATGTCAACAACCAGTCTGCCAATACACTAGATCTTTTTCTCACCAGCAATCTTGATCCATATAGAATAAAAGTTTGTGCTTCACTTGGAAACTCTGACCACACCGTCATCTATACAACCTGCTCTTTCCATGTACCATCCAGCACCACCATTCCTATCCATCTCATGTGGCATTACAATTCGGCCGACTGGGAAGGTCTTCGTATGTTTTTTTCAGCGTTTCCATGAAAGAAAGTTTATTTCTCTTCAGGCCTGGTTCAGTAGGAACTGCTCTAGAGCTGTCGCTTCCATCAGGCAGCATTCCATCGATGGCAGAAAAATCCAGGCCCTGAGACTAGAGCAGAATATGTCGAGACTAAAGGCATATGCAACAAGACAATTCGATCATCAAAGCAGAGATTAGTAATCTCTGATCAAAGGATGCTCGGAATGCCAAAATAAGATCAAAAAGTTGCTGAATGCCCTAACGGATCCCGTTCATTTTGGTACTTCGCCAAAGCTGTAGGAAGAAACTTCACTTCCAGCTTGTTTCCTCCTCTAACCAAAGAAGATGGAACACTAGCCACGACTGCCCAGGAGAAAGCCAACATTCTCGCGCATTTATTTGCTGGAAATTCCACTCTGGATTTATCGGAAAAACAACCTCCAAACATACCGCCAATTGACAGTCATATGCCTGAGATCACCTTTCGCCAACGTACTATAAGGAAGATTTTATTGGGTCTCAACACCAACAAAGCTTGTGGCTCCGACGGAATCCCACCGATTGTTCTTAAGAAATGTGCTCCCGAACTAACACCTGTTCTCTGCAAGTTGTTCAACTACTCTTGAAGATTGGGGATATTCCCGTCCAACTGGAAAATTGCAAAAATACAACCAGTTCCCAAAAAAGGCAAAAAGACCCCACCTACCAACTACAGACCTATCGCACTGCTATATATTATTTCAAAGATCATGGAGAAAGCTATCAACATCGAACTCATGAAATACCTGGAACATTCAGGTATTATCAACGATATGCAATATGGCATCCGTCATCAGAGGTCAACTGGTGACCTGCTCGCTTACGTCTGACATAAATGGCAGCAATCTATTGAAAAATATGGTGAAACCTTAGCCGTGGCACTCGATATCTCCAAGGCATTCGATCGAGTCTGGCACCACGGACTCCAAGCTTCCATCTTATGACTTGCCTCCCCAGCTATGTTCCCTAGCTGCTAGCTAGTTTTCTCTCAAACAGGTCTCTTCATGTAGTGGTCGACGGAGTTTCATCTGACTCTCTTTTATCATGAATGCTGGTGTTAAGCAAGGATCAATTATAGCACCAACACTATTTCTACTCCATATCAACGATTTGTTGAAAGCTACTTCATGCTCAGTACACAGCTTCGCGGATGATAGTACCCTCCATACCGCCTTCTCTTCCAGGGCTCCAATACCAGCCAGGCAAATCAGAAACGAACGAGGGAAAAATGTTGACAACATAAATATGGACTTGGCAACAATTATCGAATGGATATCCAATAACTTGGTAGATATCAATGCAAACAAAACACAAGCATGCCTTTTCTCTAGGAAAGCCGATCTCACTGTGCCCAACATATAAGCCTGTCAGGAGTAACCATACCTTTGAAGACATCCATTCCGATGCTTGGTATTACTATCAGCAATAACTTTTCTAGGGAAAATCACGTGAGATCAATTATTGCTAAAAGTGCATCCCAAAAACTTGGTTTTCTGTTTCGAACCAGGAGCTATTTCACTTCAAGTCAGCTGCTTATGATCTATAAGGCACAGATCCGACCTGTCCTGGAATACTGTTTTTATATTCAGAGTGCAGCACCCAAACATACACTGAAACTGTTGGATTCTGTCCAAAAGAGGGCAATTCGTCTCGTGGGTGATGCCTCGCTCACAAACTCACTCACTTCTCTGGAACATCATAGACAAATTGGCGATCTGGCCCTATTTTATAGATATTTTGATGGAAGATGCTCTTCTGAAATATCAATAATTATTCCTCCATTGGCAGTCCCCGCGAGATTAACCCGTCGAGTTGAGGCTTCGCACCCCTTCGTGGTCACTTTGGAGACCTGTAGAACATCTCTTTCTAAACACTCCATTATCCAACGAACAGCGAGGCTCTGGAACACATTGCCAAGAGATGTGTTCCCCGAGTCATATAACCTCCAGAAATTTCAGAAGAACACCAATTCCTACCTTATTTCCCTTGGTTCTCACGATGTTCTCTGAACATTACAGGATATACCTTATACCTTTTCGTGGGAACCAGAACATAAAAAAAAACTCTTCGAAGGTTTTTATCGTGTCCGCTGTCGGCTCTCGGGTAAATTCACTTCCTCAGAAGGTGCTGGCCCTAGACTCTAGTTAAATCTACCGGCTTCTGGCGATCCTGGCTGCCTGCAATTCGTGTATCGTGTTCGTCCGTCGATTCTTCTACTTCTATACTATATTCGTTTCGCTGTTGCTAGCGGGCCGTGTCTTGTAGATTGCAGAGTGATGACAGAGTGAGCTTTGCAAATCGCGTACGCGTATTCGTTCACTTGTTCCACGAAATCGGCCGCGTTAATTGGTTGGTGGATGACGTCAAACGACCAAAGCGCCCTATCTAGATTATCTATTCACAGGTAAGCACTACTTAGTGACAGTTATTCTCGAAGATGATTAGAACGATGAATCATCGAAAACACGCGTTGTCGCGCTTAAAACATCTACCATCAAAGGTCATGTATGTGTTTGTCGACTGTAAACAGTTTTTGTTGATGTTGCTAGGGCTTTGTGTGTGTTCAGTAAACGTGATTTAGTAATTTCAATAGGCCAAAACACAAATGACAAGTGCGTTAATTCATTTTAAATATACATTATGAACATACCTATTTCCATATTTGGATCAATTTGTTGATAGAATACGTCATACTTCAAACAACAACAACACCATTTGAATAATACCACTATACCCTACAATTTCATGGAACGTTCAAATATACCTATAGCTAGCTTTCAGCAGCAAACTTCGTCTATGCAGTACTGACGTCATAATTCCTTTTCCTGTGTTGTCAGCTGATTCAATTGATTATTTAATTAATAACAAGTAACTGTTTACCGATTTTCGAATCGATAAAACAGCCATGAACTATCGAGATGATTCGATATGCATTGATGCAGTAAATGTCATCCGATGTCATCAATTTAAGTTTTACTCCCATTTCCAATACTTCAAGTTCATGGATGACAAGATTAATTAGGTAGGAAATAATCAGTGGCGTAACTTTTATTTTTATTTACTATTATTGATTTGATACTGAAATTCTAGTTACGCCACTGGTACTAATCAAAGTACTAATATAGTAGGTTGTTGTAGGTACATACATACCTTGTAAGTTCATTCAACATCAGCGACACGATTTGGATTAATTCTCAATTATATGTACCTGTTATATGGTATATACATGCCATTTCAATAAACCTCAAATTCTGATGACATCACACTTATAACGATGTCATAATTTATCACAATCCGGTTCATAAGAAAACAAGAAAACGCGTGTTTCAAACTGTCTTGCTCAGTTTATCCATGGCATTGTAGAAATCATTTAAATCTTGAGAGCGGTAATGAAATATCCAAATAAGCTAAAGAATTGGTTGAGACGGCAACGTTGTTCATCTCACAAAATAGATTTCTCGATTGCCAATAGACGGTCGGAGCGTTGTAGAGAGCTTATGACGTCAGTAAAGCTGATACCGGAGAATTTATGTGGAATTTTTTTTTATAGAGATAAAATTTTGAAATTCACCATGGGTATATAATAAATGGTAGCGCACTTTTTTTTTTCAACCACCTGTTTGACCGGAAGTGTCCCCAACTTTTTTTTTAAATGCACCCTGTACTTACATACATACATACATACATATATATTGAGGAATCTAAGATAGGAACATATTTTTTCGAATTCAGCTACTCGTACAGAAACTATCTGTCTTTTATTTTCGCCATGTACTTATCACATGATCTTCCCATTTGGAATAATAAAACTAAAATTGTTCCTCTTATACGATGATCCACAGGGCTATCAGTCTATTTTTAGTATTTTTTCATAATTATTTCACTTAGTAGGCGGTGTACCTACACAAAATGTTTTATGTGTTTGACAGTTAATCGATTGCATCGATTATTTTTCTTCTTCATTTGTGTGTTGATTATTTTCGAAGGTTTCCATCTTGACTCAAACAAGCTATTGACAACCTGCAGACATTGATCAGAATATCAAAACATTTTGAATAATATCGGTTTACTAATGATATTTAAATTTCAAAGCCTACCAAGTGTCGATATATCATCGAATTCATGTCACAGCCAACTTATTCTTTTTGAATAAAAAGCAATTCAACAGCGAATCAAGAAATAAATGCCACTTTGTGATACATGGTTGGATAAAGAATTTCAAGGCGAAAAAGATATACTGAAGAAATTCACAGGGTGACATTAAAAAAAAAGTTGGGGTCACTTCCGGTCAAACAGGTGGTTGAAAAAAAATGTCGTCAAGTTGGTAAAGTGCGCTACCATTCACGAGACCATTCATTATATACCCCCTGTGAATTTCAAAATTTTATCTCTTCAAATAGAAAAACTACAGGCTGCTACATGTCGTATAAGGGGTAGGATGTTCGAATGTAGATTTGGGACACTTGGGAAGCCGAAATTATCTATCGAACAAACCCATTAACTCATGAAAGTCATATATCTCTTTGTGTTGCTTATTTTTTTTTGAAACCCATTAACATTAAACCAGTAGGGTTAAGTAGGCATCCGTATTATTATCATTTCGTATGACAAAAGGCCAACAACACATTCGGTTAACAGCTGATATCAGTGTTTTATGTTGGTAGTTCTCATCACCACAAAGCCGACATTGATAAATACTGTCCTGCATGAACCTGTTTCATCTTGTCAAACGAGGAGGTGATTCATCAAGATGGCTTTGCTTTTCACGTAGACACGTACCTACCTACGTGATAAAATCAGCTTTCTTTCTCTTCAAGTCTTAATCAGAGAACAACCGGAAGTTGATAAGATCGTTTCGCTCGTCCACCCTGTATCAATATTTGCCACTAATCCTTGGATTTCTTATGAAAAAGATTTCTCGGTTGTGATAACGTTCTCAGAGAACTCCTTTGTCAAAATTCGCAGCTGTCCAATCAACCAATGATGTATTAAAACGATATTTCAGTGAAGGTGACTGTCCTTGCACTGGTCCACTGAAACCTAAACTACCTGGTCAGGTACCTACCTTTTTAGACAATGGATCGGGTCTCACAACCGGCTTTACCCTCGTAGATCATAGATATAGTGAAATATTCAAGAAAAATGACTAATGGTTGCAGGCTGTCGAAGAATGTGCTCTATCCCTCGCTTCGTTTATTTACATTAGAATGAGAGAAAATTAGCTGTTTGTGTGTTGAAAAAGAAGCATCGGGGCTTGGCTTGATTTTAGGTTAGATTAGGTGGGGGAAAGTGGAAGGAACAATGCACTAGGAACATTTCAAAAGAGTATGGGACGCTGGTAATTGAGATTGAAAAATTTCCTGGTTCTGGATACTTTTGTGGCGACCCGGCAACGTTTTACGGTATCGCGTGCCTTATCTGGAATATTCGCGCGGATATTTCGGCGGTGTGAATGGGGCTCTCGTCGCGATACTCAATGTCGCGTCTTCAATGCCACCGGCTCTGCCCTGGCGAGGTCGGCAATGTGCCCGCAGCGTTGCCAAATGTCAGAAAATTTCAAACACAAGGTCTCATAATTATTGTCTTCTATGTTTGTAAATCTCATTACGGGTTCACGAAAGATGAATGAATGTTTTTATGGAAGAAATTCCTGAAAATTAAGTGATTTTTGTATTAAATACTGTCTGTAGGTTAATCGAGGAGGTGGTATATATTCAATTTACTTGATTCTTCTCTCCTCGTTTCTATAAAATAAAAATATTCGTATTATTTCAATATATTTGTAGTGGGACAAATCAGATGATTTGCCCCAAAATATCACTGCGTTTAACAAATTTTTCTATCAGGGAGTCTAAAAGAAAAATCCAGTAGCTTGTCAGTGACAATTTGTTTGAAAA